AAAAAAAAAGGTAGTTCCATATACTTTTACACACAATCAAACATGCTACCTCCTACAACTCCTCAAAATAGTTGCACAAGAAAATAATAAGGAAAGTTCACTGCTTGACTCTTTAATTTCAGTATAAGGACCAAAATGCACATATAATGAATTTAATTTCAGTATCTTTGACTGGATTTTTATTTCATTGGGTTTTAAAGCACGTTCAATTTAGTTGACAATAAATTGATGACGAAAAATTCATGTTTTCAGGTGAGCAAAGCTGAAGACGGCACTACCAAAGCTTCTTCCACCGGAGGTTCACTGTTGAAGATGACCTGTAAAGAAGTCGGAAAAAAGAACGACGGCGATGGCCCAGTCAATTTCGAGAGGATTGCTTCAAAAGGGGAGGAAGGTTTCACTCTCTTCGCAGGAATGTTTGGCTCCGTCTTGTACCTTTTGCTTTTTCAATTTTAGAACCCGCCAGCAAGTGGCCTGTTTTTGTCCTTTTTTTTTTTAAATTAGCTTTGCCACGTAACCGTGTAAAGGAGCAGGTAATGTAAAAGGTACCACTAGCATTTTCCATGGAAAGGCTGTGCCTATTGTCATGGGTTTCATATTTACAAGTTCAATAGGCTCAACTATATTTAAAAAAAAAAAAAATTCATAGGCAGAAGACGACTTTAAAAATATATCTAGCAATAATTATATACACAAATGACATGTTAGGTATATTGAAATGACAATTTTGTTGCATGCACCTCTTGCTCTTGTTCAAATTCTACATAATCTAGCATATCAAACATAACAAAATATATACCCGACAGAGAATCATAGGATGGCCTTTACGAGGTTATCTCGTCTTCATCTATTCCTCTATGTACAGTTTTTAAATCAACCAAGTGACGCATTGTTGGTCTGCCGTGTGGACAATTCCAAGGAGACTTGAGGACAGCCAAATGTTCAAGTATCTGAAACAATCAAATACAATAACTTTGAGCAATATGAACCATGTTTCATGCTCGATATTAATTCTAGTGTTCAAAATAGGCGGGTGAATGCAATGAGAGCAAGGGAGAGAGAACAACACCATACTAAGCCTCATTCTAATTAATTTAAAGTTAGCCATACAGATCACTTTTTGCCACTCCTTTAGACCTATACTAGAATCCTTTACAGCTATAATAAACCGTGATAATTTTGGTCTACCACCTCAATCCTGTTCCATCAATATAACCGAGGTAGTAAAATAAAAAATTATACGGGGATGTAGAATAAATATATGGCGAATCAAAGATAAGAGTCCTAAGAGGCAAGATCAAATGCAGGTTTGCCTTTTTACAACTGCAAAGATGATCTACGGTGGTTCAGACTCTTGAAACATGGTCTATGATTCTGTGTGGAGGTGAGGTTAGGGTCTAATTTCTCATTTATTATTATCTCTACGTGCATTCATTATTAGATACCTTCTGCATCTCATTTCTTCCGAGTGGATCTCCAATCATAACAGATGACCTGCAGGCACGTGATGCTAGCATTGCTCGAACTCTAGGAGGGCAAACTGAGTCAGCAGTGTCTGATCTGTAACTACCAATTATAGAGCATTCTCCATGATTATCAGATAGCATAGAAATAAGTTCCTTCACATCTGTGAAAAAGCCAAAGATATCATATTTGCTACATTTACTGTTTAACACTTGCTCAAAAGTAAACAGGGATTGACCTTTGAACACCTTATGTACATCAACATGGCAGATAGTTTTAAATGTACATTGCTTATTGATGAAAGGTCAAAAGGAAATATGATGTGGCCACTTTTGGATGTATAAATTTTCATTTCTATATATTCACGTAGCTTTAGATGTCTTGATTTAATTTGGTCATTTAGCCTTCGGATCACTTACATGTGAACCCACCATTCAAAGTAGGCAAGGAATCCCACTGAAATACTGTCTTTTGTATGAAACGCTTTCAAATATTACCTGCAACCCCAAAAGTTATATTTTTACTGAAGGGAACTGCTTTCAATTTAAAGCGACGTCCAGGAGGAGCATGCAAGTCTTCTTCCAACAAAAATCCATTTTTCCTGATAAGAAAAAAATAGAATGAATATCAACGTTCAGTTTAAAGGAAAAAACTCTACCCCACAAGAATGTTCTGAACAGGAACTAGAAACCAGAATGGGGGATTTCATCACAATTAGTCCACATTAGATAAAAGCATCAATCACATCATCAGTAATGTTCTAAGATAACATGCCACAAAAGCTAAAAAGGACACCCGAGGCCTAAAGGATAAATGAGCACATAAACAGTATCCCAGTACCTATATACAGTAAGCAGTGATTAAACAGTAACCACCAACATCTGCTGAGCAAATGTTAACCAAAAATTTAGAGAAATGTGCAAAAATATTTCTGAAGACAAGATAAAATTACACAATTATAATTATCTATGCATGATATAGAGCATCACCTGCATCAAAACACAAATATGAGTTCATTCTAAGTGCGGCAGAGTTGCCAGCTAAAAAGTATCTCCACAAAGTAATTCAGAACGGCAGATACGAGTAACAATTAACGAACAAAACAGATTTATAAATACCAGACCTGATGGTATCCAGGTGCATGGAGATAACTATCTCTTCTTCAGGAGACAATTCCATCTCTAATGGCCTAGATGAAAGACAAGAATCCAGGGAAAATCAGAACTTCATCAAGCACCAGATGCATAACCAACGAAGTTGCCATTGCCGTTGCACAAGCCAAATATGTCAACTTGTTACTGGGAGCATGCTATAAATGAAATTTAAATTCCAAATGGAGATGCTGTAGATCATGTAACCATACCATACAAAATATATATAATGTATGTTGAGTTTCCTGAGGTAAGGGATATCTTTGTATCATTTGATAATTTCTGGAAAAATGTAAGCAGAGTGACAACCTGCTGTAAATAGATTTTCTTCTAATAAGTAAATTTCATGAAAGATGCCTTAGACAAGGCTAACCACTGGACGTTATAAGTACCCCCAATGACGAGTATATTGATATAGATACATTGAACACTATGAATGCATTAATTCACAAATAACTTAGAAAGCAATAAATTAAACTCCTTTACCAAAGCAAGGGTTGCTGGTTCAAGATGGTTGATTGTGACAGTCGCTCATAATTGTATTTTTCATCAGCAGCATGCTGATAGAAAAGAGTAGTAAATCAATAACTCTTGATTATCCAGAAAAAGAATACAAGAGCTAAAAAATTAAACCATATGACAACCATGTTTATCCCTCCTCACTTTTCATTAAGAAGCTAGGAAAATCACCTGATCCACAATAAAAAGGTCCTGATCTAACTTGCCAATGATAAATCCGAGATTGAACTGTCCGATGACCTGCATACGATGGGGGTAACTAATGATCAAAAGGAAATAAGATTTTTATACTCTTTAAGATAAAATCAATATAAAGCATACTCTTGGAGTTGAATACATAAATCATTTTACACCAGTTCAATCCAGCACTACACCTACTGAAAGGACCAAAAAGATCAAAGCTTGCAACATCAGACCATGTTAACTTTGGTCTACCTTTCCTCTTCTAGCTTGTCGTATTTGAATCACATCGCTTTTTAAATGAGAGCTCCTTTAAGTTTGCGAAAGACACTTCAACTACCTAAGTTGCCCATCCCTTATTCATCCTCAATTATTAATAACCCCTTAGAGTACATCCTCAATTTTTATTTTATCCATCATAGTATAACCACAAAACCCATCTTAACATCCTCATTCCTGGTACATTTATCTTATGGACATTTCATCCTCTAGCGGCCCAAGGCCTCTACCCTGAATGTCATCGAGTAGAACATTACCTAGTAGAGCTGATAATGAAAAAGCAATTCAAAAATAAATTTTCACGAATACAGCAAAGTATCAGATATTTGATGCTTCTTTCTAAATTTGCTATCAAACAAGATGCACATTTTATAAGTCGAAATAATGCACCTGTGCAAGTTTTCCATATGTTCCAGCAGCAAGAAATATAAGCTATGCACAAATTTTCTTAAACAACCAAGCAAACTATAGGTAAAGGCTTCATCTGAGTATGAAATCTACTTAACAATTAGAATTCATTGTAGATTGGTTTGCAGGTGAACTTTTCACGAGCCTAGTACACAGATATTCTGCTTTTAGTTCAAGTGAGTTGTTCAGTAGGCTCCAATTGAGAAGGAAGAATCAGGATTTTGTTGTATAAGGATATCACTAATAGGATATTAGGATTAAAAGTGAAGAAGGTTTTCACAAAGAACTAAAAGCAAAAACCATTAAAGATAACTGTCAAGCAAACTTTTAGTTATCGTACAAACATCACCTCCAGAAAACATTGCAATTTATGGAGTTGAATATACAGGTGAATGAGTACAGAACCTTCATTCGAGCAAAGTCTTCCTTCCTAAACAGTCTTTCCAACTCATTCGTAGCAGCTGCTAAAGCCCTGGCCTTTCCACCCTCATTCACTGATTGTGAGAGCTCCAATGTGGCTGCTGTGAAACCCCTATAATTCATTTTCAAAACAAAATCAGTGAGACTCAAAAAATAGTTGTTCTAATCTTTACTTTAAACTGAAAATTAATTCTTTTAAATACCCTTCCAATTTCAATCTTCCAGCTGTATGATTGACACGTTGAAGTCTTGAGATCCTCTGCTTCCTCCTTGTCATCAAATCTTTAATACTGAATTGCAACTTGAAACCAACTTCTGGGCCAGGAGGAACCACTGGAGAATCTGTAGATGGAGGTGAAGATTGCAATGGAGTTGATGCACCTAATAACTCATCTGATACATTTTGGAAGTGTGTGCTTGCCGGAGAAATTACTAGTGAACCATTATGTAGTGATGCTTTCTCTTCAGCCTTTTGCGTCTGTGTTTCAATTGTCTGGGTCAAAAAGTACCATCAAGGTTAAACATACATAAGAAGGGCAGCGCCTCAAAGTCCTATTGACATCAAAGAATGTTTACCAAAATCTTGCCAGTTAAGTTTGGATTATTCTAAAAGCAGAATTCTATACCTGGCTGGCTTCTCCATTTTGTTTCTTGTAAGTTGAAGGAAACAAAACTGTGGTATCAGCTTTGTCGCAGATACTGTCAACTCTGGAAAATTTAGCAGGTTGAGGTTCACTGCAGTTGATTTTATCAGAAGCATCAATCTCAATACAATTAAGTGGAGAGCTTGAACGTGCAGAATGCATTGCAAGGCTGCTTTCATTTGATAGACTGAAAGTAGGTCCATTTCTAAGGAGAGGAACTTCAGATAATGCTGTATTGACACTTTCATGTTTTCTCTTATTTACCATAACAAATTTGTTAAGTGAGGTCTGAACAACGCTTGCTCGTCCCAGTGACTTGCTAGTATCAGTACTAACTTTCTGTGCAGGTCTTGAAGGGGAAGGAGCAACGTCGTCAGTTTTAGAATAGCTAAAATCCATAGGCTGCTTGCTGGGACTCGCAGAGAAGCTGTTCTTTTTATAGCTGTGAACTCTAAGTGTGAAGTCTTTTACAGTAGAACAAACACTACTGCTATGAGTCACCTCCTCAATAGGTGAATTTTTGTCGTCCCATTCAGCTGTTTTGAGAGTAATGTTGCTATTTGCACATTGTTTACTAGTGCACGCTTCCTCTCGAGACACACCACAGTCTGGAGATGACTGCTTCGGTGACAACAGAGAGCTCTTATCTGGGGAGTTAATCTTGCAAGCATGCTCTTTTTCATCAAGCTCCTCAACTCTATTAACATGGTAATTCGCTTGATTTGGTGAGTAAATCTTCTCCAGAGCTTCTCTTAACGAGTGCAAAATGGAACCTTCATCGGCAAAAAATATTTTCCTTTTATCAGGAGTCACATTGACATCATATGCTTGAGTTGGAATAGTAAAATTCATGATTGCAATAGGATATTGCCTGGAGTTTGCACCTCTATATAACTCATTCACAATCTTGCCGACTTTTGGCATATCAACTGGTCGACCATTAACAAAAAAGAACTGCCGATCTCCCATACTTCGCCCACTTCCATATCCAGACTTGGAAACAAAACCTTCAACTGTGCAACCATCTGATGTACAAACCGTCAGAGGCTCTAAGCAGGAAACGGTACCCGTACCAAACAATGAGACAATATTGTCTCTGAGAGATCCGCAACCCTGTGTTTTAAGCACTACAGACTTAACATTTTTACCAGTTGTGTTGGTGCAAACTAATCTAACACCTTTAGATATAAGAGCATATGCCTGAAAACACAGTGCATTAATAAGAAGGGTTATTTGGGAAATGAAAGAAAACACTTTCTTGACCAAAATGTACAATAACAAAGCCAGAGAAAAAAAAAAAAACAATGCAAAGATTAAGTGAGGAAACAAAGCTACTAGTACCATGGGACACCTCACATATTCTAAAGTAGAAGTATTCAACACTTGACATTCTATATATACAGTCCCCGAAAAAGTGAGGTTTGCTGGCATCTGAATGCAAATATTCAATTATGGAGATGCTCTATGGTTTTCCTTGTTCCCTTTTCTTTTCATTTATTTTTTCAAGTGTCTTCAGGTTAGGAGAAAAAGAGAATATGAAGGAGTAAGAGAACACATACCTATATGAAAGATACGTAAAAAGTCGATCCAATGTAGCAAATACAAATAACAGAAATAGAGATAGAATCATTTTTAGGATGACTTGACAGTTGAAATGATATATACAACATCCTGACTTATCTTCCTACTAAAGAATATTAGAAACCAAGTCAAACTTAGATCTTCTCAAAAGGTTAATTAATTATCCCAGATCAGCTATTCTTCAACTTGAAGAAAAAATAGTGCAACTTGTGGCATTGTCACTAATTCATCAGCAGAAAGCAAATATTCTCACTTTACAATCACATTGATGGATGCAGAATTCTGCTTTACATTTGTTGGGTGAATTATATATTTCCATATACAAGAAAACATATATGAGTATTTTCTGTTTCGGGTGAAAGTGAAACACGTCAGTGCAGGACCATAGTTAATTATCACACTATCCCAAAGCATGCCACAAACCAACTTCTACCGTAAAATTGTTACAAAGAGTCTCCAGCTGACTAATCTCCCAATTGAAATTAGATGCACCCCTTCCAGTCTATCCTCAAGTCAACCATTGGGTTTTCTTTAAGAATTATCACTTGTGCATTGCAATCAAATACCAGCATCAGTATAACTTTCAACCAATAAAAGCAGTGTGCATAAACAGAACGGCTCACATTCAATAAGGTGATGAGTTTTCCATATTCCTTACGGATATTCCTCCGGAACTCTTTGCACCTCACTGGCAAATTGGAAAACAACTTCTTGACAGTAACCGTGGTGCCAAATTGACGAGCAGTCTTCCTCTCACCCGTTAGAACACCCGAGCGATCATAAGTCAAGTGTGTAGCAACAGCCTCATTTTTGGTCCGCGTCTCCACGGTCAGATCCCCTAAAGCACATAGCGAACTTAATGCCTCCCCTCTAAATCCAAAAGTAGTCAACAACTGAAGGTCGCGAAAATCCAATAGCTTCGAAGTATGATGCTTCAGCGCCAGAACCTACAAATGGCCCCAAAAAAACTCATTCTCTGGGAAACGGGCAGGGTGAAATAAAAAATAGGGGTTATTAAGGGAACTTACTTTAAAATTGTGGGGTGAAATGCCAGAGCCATTGTCAATGACTTGGAAGGATTCTTCACCGTATTCTTTCAAGGCAATCTCGATGCTGGTGGCTCCCGCGTCAAGGCTGTTCTCGACAAGCTCCTTGACGGCGGAGGACAGGTCTAGGATCACTTGACCAGCGCAGATTCGGTGAACTACGGCCTTATTTATTGGCTTAATTGTTGCTGGAGATTCCGCTGCCGATACTCCACCTTCCATTGGCTGTCAGTCGAAGGAAATTGAAAAACTCGTGCAGTGTTACTGAGCTCGGATCGGGTTAAATCTCCAATATAGCCCATGAACACGTTTTAAGCGTCTCATGTATGGGCGGGAATATGACATTAAGCATCCGTTTATTTCTCACTTTTCATTCATAAAAATGAAAAATATGATCGTTATTCATCACATTAAGTCATCAATTTTAAATTTCTATCTTATATAGAGTCCAATAACAACTATATTTTTCATTCTCATTATACAATAATTAGAATCAAACGGGCCCTAAAAGTTTACAAGAAATAAGATTTGTTTATATAGTAGGATGTGTGAACAAATTATAATTTAATAAGTGACATACAACTCGTCTAATTTTGGCTAGCCAAAGGCTACGCATCGTCGTGAGAAGCTTGATGAGTTGGCATCCTATGTGGCATACACGTAACATGTGACATCACTTCGTTTTGGGTGACAATTGGTTCAATTGGATGTACGCATGGCATCTGCATGGTTGGTGACTATTCAGAAATTGGTGAAAGGTATGGTGAATGGACACAAGACACTACACTTCATGATTTAATTTGGACAGACAAATCATGAAATTGTGCAATCCAATGGCTAAGACGAATCAGACCAAGTGGTGCACCGATTCATGAAATGTCACACACTCATTTAATGAAACACTTCAATCTCTATAAATGAAGACCTCCATATTTATTTTTCGACACACCATATCGATTAAAATACAATTGATTTCTAAATTCACACCATATCGATTAAAATACAATTGATTTCTAAATTCATTCTTTCTTCAAATTCTGTTTACAAAAATTCTTTCAAATATATTTGTGGTTATTTTGTTCGAGTACGGTCATTCTTTGGTTTGATCGACAAGGTTGGTATTGTACAATATCGACTTTGGAAGGAACGTTGTATCTTGAGAGACAGATGTCCATAATCTTGTTTGCACTTTATTGGGTGGGGGGGGGGGGCGAAATCCGTTTTAAGGAAATTTTCTTTGACATATCTCGCTTTATTTACTGCATTTCATTTTCTGTTTATTTTATTTATTCTTTCAATTTAAATAGTCGAATTTTCGACAACAAAACTAACCGAATTGAGAGAACCCAAGGGATTATTTTGACAGTTCGAAATGGTTAAATGCGTGCGTGCATGTGAAAGAGAGTAAAACCATAGGTTGCACCATTGAATTCCACTTTTTTGCTGCCAAAACGACAGATGAGGTTTCCCGGCATTGGATAAGCCCTTGTTTGTGCAAGGAAAGATGCATTTTTAAACGGTGATTTTTGAAGGTTGTGTGATTAAAAATGAAAAAAAAAAAATGGTCCTTTTGTAGTCAGTGCACTAAACTCGATAAGAGAGAGAGAGAAAATAATTGGGAACCGGATTACAAATGGTGTCGTGGTGTAGTTGGTTATCACGTCAGTCCAACACCTTGACGCCATTCATTTTTCCCTCTTCATCCTCTTATCTTTTTCGTATTTTATTCTGGGAAATGAAATTAATTTGGACTAGATTGTTAATCGAGCAACAATAATTTCTGTATTGTAATTTTCACCCCAAAGAATGTAATGAATTCGAATGAAACGCACATTAGAATAATCATATTTAAGCACATGGTCAGAGAACCATGAAACAACGAACAAAGCATAATGAGCACGTAAAATAATTAATATGGATCTAATAGAAGATGTTTATTAAACTAAAGAACTTTGTACAATAGAGATCTAATTAAGTATATGGACGGGTGAAATAGTTGTATCTCAAATTCTAACAATAGACAATAACACTATACATAACCAGTATCTCCTCTACATAAAGTAGCTAAGCGAGTTCTTTTTTTCTCGACCCGCCTTCTCCATATAGTTCGTTCCACTGGTGCAGCTCGTTCATGTTCGGTGATTCTGATGAAACACTAGCACATACATAAAATTTAACGAGAAAGGTCAGGTGCTTTAATATATTTCAATGAAGCCATTACAACAAAGAAATTTTTAACTGCTGTACTCTTTCTTGGATTAACATGACACGAAGACGTGTAATCTAAAACATTTTCCCACAACACCTACAGGGTCCCTTTCCCGTGTTTGACTTGTGAATGAAATCAATAGTTCTTATTTTAATACATTGGCGAGGGAAGTGGTGGTCAAATTCATAGCTATATACAGAAACACGACCAGAGAATATCTCCTACATTTATAATTTTACTTGTTCATGTGCATCTCTAAAATCGTCCATGACGAATATCTGCACTGCTATGCAATGCAGACATCGGACTGTTCTCTGCCATTGCCAACGCTCTCCTACAATTTGTAGATAAATTCAATTAAGTTCAAGGTAAATGAATAAAAATAAATACACAAAAATTAGCAGCCTGGGATAGAAAGGAAACTATCCATGCTTTACAAGAAAATATTTAGTAACAAACCTTTCGAAAGCAAATAGAGAAAGGGGAGAGATGTAGAATGCTTTTTTAACATTGTATGCTTGATTTAATGCTGCGACTACTGGGCATATAGACGGGCGGTCTAATTTCATGTTGTTACCTTTTTATTTAAATTTATAATACACTCCCTGTGTATTATGCATTGATTAATAAAATATTTGATTACCTTTTAAAAAAAAAGGAACTTGACCCTTTAATCACAAAAATTATGAACCTTGTTATGAAGTTGTTGAACGGCACAAAGATGAAATCCTTGATAAGTTTGAAATTGAGTTCAATGAAGAACCAGAAGAAAGCAACCTTACTTTG